ACCTTAAGCTCCTAAGTTTCAAAGCAAGATGAATTCATAAAAAATAATTGCGCGTTTCCACGGTCTGGTCTTTTGGAGACAGATGTCCAGAGGGCAAGCCCAAAAGGTGTTTTGTTTCCAACTGTCCCAGTCTAACAGCACTATGCTGGGCATTCAGAAGCCCACAACTCACACCTCATCTGAGAGTTATCTCCTCAGTCAGCTGTAACTTTCAAAGTGGGTCTCAACTCCTTCTCCAAGACAAGAAATGATACGGGGAAAGAGTCCCAATCAAGCAAGCAGTTGACGAAGCAGACATGAGGGCTAAGGGTTAACTGAGGCAACATAAAATAAGCCAGTGGCAGAAGTTCCCTAAAGCAGGGAAGCCTCTGGGGCATGCATGGCTGGGAGAGCAAGCCAGAGGGAGTCTCAACACTGCCTCACCTTCCTCTTGTCTAATGGGGGGAGTGAGACCCCATTGGAACGGTTAAGGTCGGACACCAACACCTTCAGAATGTCCTGAATCTATAGTAGGCGAGAAGGAAAAACAAGGGCAGGGGGAGAAAGGCAAGAAAGTCAGGGTGGGAAGAAGAGAAATGGTCAAGGAAATGGAACACTCAAAGAGCAGAGATCAGCACCCAGGCCTGTACCACTTGCTGCTTTGTAAGCTGCAGCCCACAGAGTAAATGAGAGTCCCCCAAGGGATGCAATCAACTCTCTTGACCACTGTAGCAACTCAACACTGAGACCCTTTCTACAGACCCAGGATTGCAGGAACAATCTGAAAAGCCCCAGAACCCATGTCCACCTTCAAGACCAGACTCTCAGATAAGACCTCCCTTATACTGCTACCATCCAGCTGAAAAGCAAATCTGTAAGACACCAAGTGAGTCCACCATCACCTTGTCAGATAAACTGTGTGTGTGGGGACTTTCCTGATGTAACCCAGCAAGCTCATGACAAAGATGGACTTAAAATTTAGATCTTCTCTTACTGTTGCTTCCTCTTAGGAAAGCCTGAGAACAAATGATATTCCCTCTGGCCTGGTTTCTACCCACAAACCAAGAAAATCAAGCAGCACCTAATGCTGAATCACTATTTACCCCAAGCAGGCCTATTCCTCTATTTGGGGAATTAACATAAAAACAACAGCAACTAAGTTCATTTAAATTTTATAAATATACATTAAACAATATTGCTGCTATTTAATAGATATGTAAGAAGAGGCTCAAAATGTTCAAACAACTTGTCCTAAATCTTATCATATTTCTAGCAGATGGAGAGATAAGATTCAGACCCAGATTTTACTTTATTTTTCTGTGCTGAGATAAAACCCAGGGTCTCTTGCCAGGCGAGGCCTAATTCATTACTAATGAACTAGGTTCCCAGTCCTCAAAGCGAGAAATTTTAACCATCACTGACACTTCCACCTGAACCACAGCCCTCTCCACACCATCCCCAGGACTCTGCCACCCAGACTCACATCCTCTGGTGACTGACAGTCACTGGCGGTGGTTTTCTCAGGGCTACTGCCATTTTTAATCTTTTTCTTCTTCTTTGCTCCTGCAGGAACACCAGGACTGTTCTTCTGCTGATACTCTCTCAACTGTGAAAAAGAGAACAGGCACTCATGAAAGCCGTTTGTCCCATACTCACAGCCTCCACTCCAGCCTTCCAGTTTATTAAGCGGTTTTTGATGGTGTTTCTGTATGCATTATTTGTTTGAGATAGGGTCTTATGTATCCCAGGATGAACTCCAACCCACTATGTAGATATGCTCTAGGATTACAGATAGGTACCACCATACCTTGTTTATACAGTGCTGGAGAACAAACCTAGGGCTTTGTACAAGCAAGGCAAGTAATCTCCCAGCTGAACTTCATACCCAGCTCCCTCCCATGCATTTTTTATAAAAATAATCTTATATACATAAGTCTTATGTACCACAATTCTACAAGATATCGTAATGACATTTTAATTGCCAAAGAAATAGCATGGCTAAGAAGGCAGTAATTGGGTTAGGAATGTAGCTCAGTGGAAAATACTTGCCTAGCATTCAAGAGGCCCTGAGTTCCATCCCCAGCAACATATATGCATATATGCGTGTGTGCGCGCACACACACGACACAGAATTTAAACTCAATCTTCTGATTCCCAGCCCTGGGGTTTGCAGCTCCCAAAGGAAAATCTAGAGGTAGCAATTAGAGAGGAAACATTCAGCAGGTAGGAACTAGCTGGGTGTACTCTTTCCCATCTGTAATCCCAGCTCTTGGAAGGGACAGGCATGAGAAATCAGACTTTGAAGGCAGCCTTAGCTACACAGCAATATCCAGTTGCAGAATAAGACAACAAACAAATGAACCAGCAGACAAAAACTACATACTGAATCTTAAAACCCCTTCCTTTTTTCAGAACATTTTGTATAGCTGGGCATGGTGGTACACACCCTTAATCCTAGCACTCAAAGCAGAGGCAGACGGAGTGATGAGTTGAGCTAGCCTGGTATACATAGCAAGTTCCAGGCCAGTGAAGGGTACAAAGCAAGACCTTGTCTTTATTCTTACTTATTTTTAAATTTATTTTATGTGCATGAATGTTTTGCCCACATGTGTGTATATATGTGCATTGGGTGTATATGTGATACACACCGAAGTCAGAAGTGGGTGTCAGAACCTTGAACTGGAGTCTCAGATGATTATCAATCATCGTGGGTGCTGGAAATAAAATCCAAAAATTCCATCTTCAAAATATGTATGTGTGTACGTGTCTCTGTGTATGTGTGTGTCATGCACATGTATGTCTGTACTGGCAGAAGGTACATGGGTACACACAAGAATATCAGAGGACAGTCTCTTCCACTTTGAGACAGGTCTCTGTTGCAAAACACAGCAGGCTAGGTGGCCCTTCCGTTCCTAGGAGTTCTGTCTCTACCATCCATCTAGCTAGAGAATATCTGGGCTTACAGATTCATGCTGCCATGTCTGGTTTTATGTGGGTTCTTAGAAATCCAAACTCAGGTTCTTCTGCTTGTGTGGCAAGCACTTTACTCAATGAATCATCTCATCCTCAAAAGCCAAAGTACTGTTAATAAAACCTCAAGTCAATGGCTTTTTTCTTTTTCTTTTTTCCTTCCTTCCTTCCTTCCTTTTTTTTTTTTTTGTGTGTGTGTGTATGCGTGCGTGTGGCAGTACTGGAAATTGAACTTGGAGCAATATGCATGAGACACCAGTACTCTACTACTGAGCCATATATAGTTTCCATTAAAAAAAAAAAGATTGCTGGGGATAGTAGCCCATACCATTCATCCCAGCACTAGGGAGGCAGTGGTAGGTGTGGATCTCTGTGAGTCTGAGGAGTTTGAGGACAGCCTAGTCTACACAGTGAGTTCCAGTACAGTCAGGACTACATTGACTCTTCTCGAAAAAAAAAATTACTCTAATTAATAAGAAAGATCATTTTTATTTTATGAGTTTTTGCCTACATATCTATTTGTACATAGTGTACATGCGGTAACCTAGGTGACCCGAAGAGGGTGTAATACAGAGCCTCTGGAACTAGAGTTACAGATGGAAGTTAGTTGACATGTGGGTGATAGGAGCTAAATCTAGGTCCTCTGCAAGAGCCAACAAGTGCTTTACCTGCTGAGCCATCTTGTCAGCCCCAACCCTCTATTTATTTTTTTTTGTAAAGATGGAATATTACATATACCATGCTGGCCTCAAACTCCATATAAAGACTAAAATAACCTTGAAGTTCTGATCCTTCTGCCTCTACCCCCAGAGTCTTGGGATACAGGCATGCATTGCTTTGCCTAGTTAAAGCCGTGTTGGGACCCACCCAGAACCTCATACGTGTTAGGCAAACACTCTTGCCAACTAACCGGCCCTTGCATACACTAAACAAACACCCTATCAACTTAGCTACATGCCTAACCTCACTGGGGCTCTTTACCAACACGGCAGTACTTCCTAAAACTTTTACAACGTAACACGGGGGGAAGAGCTCATGAAGGCGAGCCTTAGTGAACACGAGAAAGGGGGAGCCCAACCTAAGCATCATTTCAGAGAGGTTTTACTGCAGAGGGAAGATTCTGACAAATCTATGAAAACGCCACGCCTGACTTTTATGTTCGTGTCTCAAAAGGCTCATGGAAAAGGGAGGCTTCTGAGAGATGCCTCATGTTTACCCTGTAGTGCTCACCACCTAGTCTGAGAAGCCGACTGGAAGTTGTTCAGTTTCCCAAGAAACTGATCCACAGTAAACATGCATTTTGCAAATGTCCAGAGTCATTTCAGTCTCTTAGCGAGTGGAACACTAAAAAAATCCCAACCCAACCCACACCGTTCTTCCATGTCAGCCAGAGACACTGACAGTGTCCTGTGCTCACATTAACGGCTAAGTTAAACGACTGTGGACGCCTGAATCGTCTCCGTACTCGAGCTCCCTTCCAGGTGGAAATAGGTGCTCCCCCAGAAACAGGAAAAGGGCTGACGACTTTAGGTGAGCAGGAGGGACGCTCCAAGACCGGCCTCCGGATAGTAATGACAGTTTTGAGGGGGCCTGTGACGTAACCACATTCCACTCCACACTACCAACGCCCGATTCGCCGCTCCGGGGAGCTGCGGGGGATGAGAGTACAGGGCCAGGAGCGAGGTCCCTGGAGACCAGGAGCCAAGGGAGGTCTAGTTCGGAGCTGGGGGCCGAAAGACCCTGAAGTCACTGGCCAAAGTCAGCCAGGGGCGACTGGGCGGGCGGGCGGGGGGCTGGGTTGTTGAGGGGGCGGGGCTGGCTGAGAAGACTTTACTGGGGAGCCCAGGGCGCTGAGGGGTTCTTCCCGTGTGTCTCGGGAAAGGCTCGGACTCTGGTCATGGTCCGGCCGTCGGAGGAGCTCGGGTGGGGTCAAGGGGCCGCGACCCGGAGCGCTTTACCTTTTTCTTGGCCGCAGCCAATTTGCTCTGCCTGGTTTCTTCCGACATCCCGGGGTGGGGAGGGGGGAAGCGGGGGGGCCACATCACCACGATCCCGGCAGCCACTGCGAAACTGCTTCCGGCAGCTACAGCGCTCTGAGTGGCAGAGAAGGCGGGTGCCAGACGCCACTAGGCCTCTGGGAAACGCAGCGTGGCCTACCCTCTCCAAGCCCATTGGTTGACGAGAACGATGAATGGCAGGGAGGCGTGGCCACACTGCCGCGAGGCGGGAGTAACCGGTGGAGTGAACGGGGAAAGCTGCGCGCGCAGCCATGACCCCGTTCGGCCGCCTATCGGAAAGAGGGGCGGAACCTCGCTAGCTTGGTGCGCGCGCAGCTTGACGGGCGTCGCTTGGTGGTCTCCTTCGCTGATTTCTGATTACCTGAAGGCGCTGCGGCAGCCGTTTAAACCCCAACCCTGGACCCTTCTATGCATCAGACGACCCCGATCCGGGTACCTCGGACCTCGGGGCTCAGGAGGTGGGCGAGGAGCGCGCAGCGCTTCATTTCCTAGCCCTTTCCCGACTCTCACGCCTTATCCCAGACTTCCCCTCACTAGGCCCCTCACAGCCCTTTCTCCTCCCAGTTCCCTTCCCACCATGCGCACTCAGACCTCAAAGACCCCTGCCCCATCCCGGTAGTTCAGGAAAATGCCCTGCAGCTGAACCGCGGTCCAGCCTGCTCCCTCTGCGGCTCCCGCGCCCCCTCGGTGACCCCACCTCATCAGCCCTTTCTTCGGGTTCCTCCCCAGGATTGATTCAGGCCTCGGCCGAAATTGCTATGGACCCTTCCGATCGCCGGTGAGTATGTCAGCCCCAGCCCGCCCTCCTCTGCATCCCGACACCTGCCCGCCCATCTCCTCCTCCCGAGCCTCCCGCCGCCAAGCTGTTCTGAGGCATTGGTCCTTTCCTGGTCCCACCCTCCCTACCTCTGAAACGGGGTCCTCACCTTCCACTCCTACCTGTCCGATGCCTACGCTTCTCCTGCCTCCTCCCGATTGCAGCTTTGTCCCCCTCACCCCGCCCTGCCTTCAGTCCTGCCAGCAGTTTTCCTGTCAGGGAATCTCTCTTGATGCTGGCCACGCCCTAAACGACCAGTAGAGCTAGCTCCTTTTCAGCGTCCGTCGTCTCATCCCCAAAGATGGACTCTTCAAGCACTCTCTTCGATGAATCATGGGCCACTTCTTTTGAGTAGCTCCTTTTGTTCTTTATGCCTTTTGTAATACAGTCGTTAATCCCCAAGGTGGATGAAGAAGGACCACCGACCCAAATCATCATGGCAAATTAATTAAAACAAGCTTTGCTATCCGTGTACACAGGCTGCCTCCCCCTAAGGCGGAGTTCGAGAGGTCAGCCGCAGATGTGATGAAGACAAGGCCTTTACAACTAGGGTAGGGGCTTTCCAGATGGGGACTTGGGTAGCAAAATAGGCAGGGTTACAGGAGCAGAATAGAAGCATAACCAGTTAGTCCTACATAGACATGCTTGCAAGGTGGACGTAAGAAGGCAGTCATTGGTGGTCGTATAACCTTTTGAAACAAAGGTAGGGTTCAAGATAGATCTCTCTCTCTCTCTTTCTTTCTCTCTCTTTTATATGCAGTATTCTGCCTGCATGTGTGCCTGGAGGCCAGAAGAGGGCACCAGATCTCATTCTAGGTGATTGAGCCATCATGTGGTTGCTGGGAACTGAACTCAGGGCCTCTGGAAGAGCAGCCAGTACTCTTAACCCTTCTCTCTCGTCTCAACAGCTTTTTTTTTCCCTTTTATTTAGTAATAAGATGGCTTTTAAGCTGAAGATGGAGGCAGGCTGGTTCTTCACAGTCTCATGTGTCCCAAGCAGGTCCCAAACCTACTCTGTCTTCAAGGATGCCCTTCATGGTCTCACTTTGTAGCCCAGACTGACAAATACTTTTCATCATCCTCCTGCCTCCCTCAGCAACTCCCAAATGCCGGGGAGTCAGGATAAAATGCCAGGGAAAATTATGGGGACATAGGGAGAAAAAAAAGCACTGTAAGCAGGATGGTGGTGGTGCAGACCTTTAATCCCAGCACTGGGGAAGCAGATGTGGGCTGATCTCTCTGAGTTTGAGCCAGCCTGGTCTACAGAGTGAGTTCCAGGACAGCCAGGGCTACACAAGGGAGCCCTATCTTGAAAAATGAAACAAAAAGAGAGAGAACCCTGATTTTAGAATTTGGGATTCCAGCACAGTATTTGCTGTGAATATTGCCAATATAAAGACAATATTTCTTTTTTAAACTTTTCTTGAGACAGTGTTTTTATGTATCCCTGACTGCAGACCAGGCTGGAGTTGAACTCACAGATAGCTACCTGCCTCAGCCTCTTGGTACTTATTAAAGGCTTATGCCACCATGCATGACTTTTTTTTTTAATAATTTAAATTACCTTTTAAAATTAGTTTAGGTTGGGTGGGCCTTTAATCCCACCACCCAGGAGGCAAAGGCAGGCGGATCTTCTTGAGTTCAAGGCCAGCCTGGTCTACAAGAGCTAGTTCCAGGACAGGCTCCAAAGCTACAGAGAAACCCTGTCTCCAACAAAAAAAAAGTGCACAAAAATGAGTTTAGGTTTGTTGTGGGCTCTTGAATGTCACAGAGTACATGTGGAGGTCAAAGAACAACTTTTGAAGGTTGGTTCTTCCCTTCCACACTGTGTCCTCCAGGGATCCAGCTCAGGTCCTCGAACTTGTCACCAAGTACTTTTACCGGCTAAACTATTTCATTGGCCCTGATATTTCTTTTAGGGAGAAAAATTTCTGAATGGGGTGGTAAGGTGTCAGTAAGACAGACTGAAGGCCAGGCAATGGATAGGGCATCTCTCCTCACCCGGAAGTTTTCCAGGAGTCTCAGGAGACATTGTTTACATTGGAGATGATGCTATCCTAATTTTCTGCACCCTTGTGATCTAAGAGTCTAATCATCTACTGTAAACCTGTCAGGCAGGTTTCAGGAACCATGGGACCTTGTCATCACCTTAAAATACCTTAGCAAACCTTGGAATAATTTCAGAAGTCACCCATGTGTGCCTAGACAATGAAATGTGGCTGGGAGTGGTGGCGCTTATGCTTTAATACCAGGTACTGGTATTGGGAGGCTGAGGCAGATGAGTTTCAGTGAGTTGGAAACCAGCCTAGTCTGCATAGTGAGTTTCAAGACAGCCAGGGCTATGTAGTAAGAATCTGTCTGAAAAAATAAAAAAAAAATCTACAAATTCAAGTCTTCTTTGGAAGCCCACACCCTTACTTGCGTTTGTCTCGTTCTTTCTCGGTGTGCCTTTAACTTCTTCCTGTTCTTAAATCTGTTAAGAATGTATTTTGCAAGCCGGGCAGTGGTGGCACACTTTTAATCCCAGCACTCGGGAAGCAGAGGCAGGTGGATCTTAGTGAGTTCCCTAGTCTAAGAAGTGAATTCCAGGACAGCCAGGACTGTTTGACAGAGGAAGCCTGTTTTGTTTTTTTTTTAAAAAAAAAAAAAAGGAAAAAGAAAAAAAAATATGCATTTATTTAATGAACTCTGACTTTTCTCTCATGGTCTTGTCCTGATAGTCTAAGTATCCAACTTTGCTTGAGTGTCAATACCTGGGGAGAACTCCCTAGACTAACCCAGCTAACCCTTTATTAGATCTTTGAAGTTCAGCTTCTTCCAAAAACCTTATTCCCCACTTCTGGTTCTCAATTCTAGACGCTTCCTTAGCACATTGTTCTTCAAAGCTCTTGTTAGACTTATAATTAGTTGATTAGTTGTTGGGTCTTTCATGTAATGAATATTGTCTACTGTGTACCTAACTACTACTGTGGGCCCTATGGTGTCAGCACTGGACACACATACAAAGTCCTTGTCTGCTTGGAATTCACCAGGATAACAGTGGTGTGGACATAAATATGGAACGTACAACATGTCAGGTGATGAGAAATGAATTAAACTGTCAGCATCTATTGGAAAGATAGCTCTATGGGTGCTTGCCATGAAAGGACTCATATAAACTCAGTAGCACCCATGTGAAAACTGGGTGCAGAAGCACAGACATGATGTAATCCCAGCATGGAGGTGGAGACAACCACAACCCTAGGACTTGGTGGCCAGCTGTCGAGCCAACTAGTGAGCTCTAGAGTCAGAGAGACCCTGTCTCAGGAAATGAGGTGGAAAGTAGGTGGGGAAAGGACTGGACATGGAGAGCTGGATGGCTCGTTGGTTAGGAGCGTGGACTGCTCTTGCAGAGGGTCTGAGGTCAGTTCCCAGCACCCGCGTCACGTGCCTCTCAGCCTCCTAGCACTCCAACTGCAGGAAGATACACTGCCTCTGGCCTTGACAGGACCTGCTCTCATGCACAGACACATAATTAAAATTGAGAGCTGGGTGGTGGTGGGGGGTACACACCTTTAATCCCAGCACTGGGGAGGCAGAGGCAGGTGGTCTCTGAATTCAAGGCCAGCCTGGTCTACAGAGCAAGTTCCAGGACAGCTAGGGCTACACAGAGAAACCCTGTCTCAAAGAAGTGGGGGGACGACGACTAGAGAGATGGCTCAGAGGTTAAGAGCACTGGCTATTCTTCCAGAGGTCCTGAGTTCAATTCCCAGCAACCACATGGTGGCTCACAGGGTGGTGGTGGCGCATGCCTTTAATCCCAGCACTCGGGAGGCAGAGGCAGGCGGATCTGAGTTCGAGGACACCCTGGTCTACAAGAGCTAGTTCCAGGACACGCTCCAAAGCTACGGAGAAACCCTGTCTTGAAAAATCAAAAATAAATATAAATTTTATGTTCATGAGTGTTTGCTTACATATGTGTACCGTATTCATGCCTGGCATTGGAATTACAGGTGAATACTATGTGGGTACTAGGAACCAAACCCAGATCCTCTGCAAGAGCAGCAAGTGCTTTTAACCATCATTATAGCCCTATAGAAAAAATTACATTTATTTCTGCTAGGTGTGGTGGCACATGCCTTCAATACCAGCACTCTGCAGGCAAGAGGTAGATGTATCTTTGAGTTGGAGGTAGACTGGTCTACATACTGAGTTACAAGCCTACTGGAGCTACAAAGTGAGACACACACACACACACACACCCTTTTTGTAAAGTAAAATGTAAATAAAATTATACTTTTTTATTTGGATCAGGAGGTACTCAATATAACAGCGATCCCTTTGTGATTTGAATGACTTTTTCACAGGGTCACGTAACAGTAACGAAATTAGTCATGAAGTAGCAACGAAATAACTTTATGGTTGGGAGGTAACCACAACGTGAGGAACTGTAGAAAGGGTCTCTGCACTGTGGTATACAAGTGGGAGTCAGGATAACTGGAAGGAGTCCTTCTCTGGGAGCTCCGGGAGTAGGACTCATGTCTCTTAGGTGTGACCACAAACACCTTTACTTGCTGAGCCATCTCGGTGGCCCTTTTGAAACTTTTAATGTCATGTGCGAGTGTGTAGGTCAGAGAACAGTTTTGAGGAGTCGGTTCTCTTCCAGGGTTTGAGTATCAGACTCAAGGTTGTCAGGATTACAGAGCAAGTGGTCTAGCCAGCTGAGCCACCTTGCAGGCCTTCTCTTTGGTTTGTGTGTCCTCTGAATACAGGGGCCTGGATGAATGTCTTCCTGGGGCTCCTGCCAGTGCTGGCAGACAGTGCTCAGTCATAATTGCAGAGTGACTGGTCACAGGCAGAGACCTAAGAACAGGAACCACAGCTTCCTCTATTCTCTTGCTAGGCAGGTCTTCCAGCATCGACTTCCCGAAGATAAGTGAGCACCAGATGCCAGCCTTTGCAACAGTGGTCCTAATCCTTCCTAACGCCACGGCCCTACAGTTCCTCATGTTGTGGTGACCCCATCCATAAATATTTTTTTTTGCTACTGTTACAAATCATGATGTAAATATCTGACATGCATGATGTGTAATACATGGCCTTTGGGGGGTCGTGAGTCACAGGTTGAGAATCACTGCTTTATAGGCTCAGGCCGAAAGGGCAAAGATGAAGTGTAGCATCAGGGAAAGATCTTGTCCATTGAGACTATAAATCCAATCACATTGTAGATCTGGGCTCAGACTACAGGCCAAAGTGGCCAGCTGCTAAGGGTTGGGTTTGGTTGGGAAGAAAGTCCCAAATAACCGCCATCGTGGACTCCATCCTTCACCTTGCTTCAGCCTCCATGAGGCTGAGATTGCTGATCTACTCCAGCATTATGTCAGCATTTCAGGCAGAGAAAGGCCAGGGTTAAGCCCGTTCTCTCCTGGAGAGAGAGTCCTCAGACGTTGCACGTGTCTTTTCTGATGGCATTTCCATTCGCCATAAACCTGTCACATAACCCTTGTCATAACTTGGGCCACACCTAGTTCCAAGGAAAGCTGAGAAATATGTGGCATTTGAGGGCAGGGAAATATTAGCAAGCAGAAAGAAGGAGTGACTATCAAGAGGTATCTCATAGGCTCTGATCTGTGGGTCCAGATTGGTCCAACTGATGACTTTTTTTCCTGCCACTCAGCGTCTGTTTCCCAGGACTGAACTGCCTGATGACAGCAGCGAGGAGTCTTTGAAAGCTGACATTCAGAAACTGAAGGAGAAACAGGACATGCTGGACAAGGAGATTTCCCAGTTAGTAAAAGAGTAAGTCTCTGTAATTTTGTTTTCTGAGACCCTCTGGTATCCCAGGCTGGCCTAAAACTTGATATGTAACTGATAACTTTGAACTGATCCTCCTGTCTCCTCTTAGTGTGTGATTATAGGTGTGGGCAACAATATCTAGTTTGAGTTTTTTTGTGGGCCGGGAAGGTTGAGTTTTTTTGATACAGGGTTTCTCTGTAACTTTGGAGCCTGTCCTGGAACTTGCTTTTGTAGACCAGGCTGGCCTCAAACTCGCAGAGATTCGCCTGCCTCTGCCTTCCGAGTGCTGGGATTAAAGGCGTGTGCCACCACTACCCGGCCAATACCTAGTTTTTTGGTTTTTGTTTTTTTTTTTAATTTTATTTCTTATGTATTCAGTGTTCTGCCTACAGCCCTGCAGGCCAGAAGAGGGTACCAATTCTCATTACAGATGGTTGTGAGCATGTGGTTGCTGGGAATTGAACTCAGGACCTTTGGAAGAGCAGGCAAAGCTCTTAACCAGTGAGCCATCTCTCCAGCCCCAATATCTAGTTTTCTGAGCAAGTCTTGTTGCCTCCCCAGTGTGGGAACATAAAGCCTTAGGTTCAATTGCTGTGCAGAAAAACAAAAGGCAAGGAATGGAGCTCTGTGTCGGAATGCCTTGGGGTTCATCCCAAGTCACACACATTCTTTTAATTAGTGCCTAGTAACAAACCCAGCTACACTAGCTTGGCATACATAAGATTTTGCTGGGGCTAGAGAGATGGCTCAGTGGTTAAGAGCACTGCCTGCTCTTCCAAAGGTAATGAGTTCAATTCCCAGCAACCACATGGTGGCTCACAACCATCTGTAATGAGGTCTGGTGTCCTCTTCTGGCCTTCAGGCATACACACAGACATAACATTGTATACATAATAAATAAATAAATAATTTTAAAAAAATTTTGCCATGGGATTCTGAATATCTGTGCAGGTTAGGACAAGCCTAGCACCAGGGTCTAGAAAGCTGATGGAAGTGAAAGCAGTGGCTGTTCTGGTCTCTCACTCTGGTGTAGTCTAGGCACTGCTGACAGCCATGGCCCCTTTCAGTGTGGAGTTTCAGCATCTAGGAGAAGCTGGCTTCTCCACAACCCCTGGGCTTCCCCATGTTCCTCATGCCAGCATCAGGGCAGAGTCTAAGATGCACAGGGATGTATATTTCACACGAGGGAGTCTGCCTGGTGACCTAGATTATGTGCTTCTTTGTGGCCAGGGTCACACAGTGACTCTGTGTCTGGAAACTCTCCTTTAGGGGACAGACAGGTTTGCTAGCAATGAGGGTGAGTAGACCCCTGCCCATTATAAGCTTCAGGAGGACAGGGTCCATTCTGTCATCACTGTCACCGAGGCCTAGCACCTAATAGGACTATAGTGAATATTTGTTAAATGCCTCACTACCACCTTCATCAGCTTACCTAATGGTGCTTGTTCTCCATTGCTCTTCCCTAGAGGCTACTGTGTGATTGAACTGGAGGACCATATCGCTCTCCTCCATGAGTACAATGACATCAAGGATGTGGCACAGATGCTTCTGGGAAAGCTGGGTGAGTCTCAAGGGGTGGGAAGGTGGCTCCTCCCCTCCCAGGCTCCCCTAACTTGCTGGCCATCCCACTCCTGTCAGCTACCCTGCTCCTGCAATACACAAACCCTTCTTCTCACCAGCTTTTGCTCCCCCTGGTACCCAGCAAAGCAGGTATGCAGTTCTTGCTTTCATCCCTAGAATCTCAAGCACAGGGCTTACTTAGGAGCAAGTCTGAACAGGACTTAACCACCTACGAGACTAGACTAAGGTCCCTGATCTTCCATGGCATGCAGAGACCTTGAGATACCATGGATACCTCTGATGACAGACTTGCTTAAGTGGAGCAAGGGACCAGGGCAGCTCTTTATGATGTACAGTGGGATTTAGCTCTTCCTCCAACTAAATCTTGCTATCTAGCATCTTGTGTGTTGGGGCTGACAAGCAGCCCACCTGACGTGGAAGTTGAGCTGGTTTGGGGTAAGATACTGTGTAGGTAGCCTTATCTACGCTCAGTAACCCTTTCCACTGACCTAGAGTGGTGCACCCTGATAGTCTGCAGCCAGAGAGGTGGGGTTCGGAGCTGTGTTGTTGCCCAGCTGCTGCCTGAGTTTTAGTGCTTTTTACGGAAATCCCTGTTGGCATCCAAGATTCCACAGACCAGAGGAACCTAGGTTCCCAGCAGAGAGAAATCATATCTCTAAGAATGGGTCCTCCAGAGGGAGAAGAAAATAGGACGGAAATGAAAGTGTCTCAAAGGGCAGTGATCATAGCTTAAACGGGGGAGGGGGTGGCCAGATGTGGTGGTGCACACCTGAAATCCTAGTACTCTGGAGGCTGAGGCAGGAGGATCATAAGTTGAAGACCAGCCTGAGTTTCATAGTGAGACCTGACCAAAACAACAACAACCATAAAAGTGTTCTTGGTAGAAATCAGATGAGACCTGTCACCCCTAGGTCCAAGGGCCTGGAGCCAGTGTCCTATCACTTTTGTGGTTTTTTTCAGTGAATATTTACTGAGTGTCTGCTGTGTACCAGGCACTCGAAGATGCTGATGGTGGTGAAACATGTGCCTTGGATTTTAGTGTTTAGAATGGGCAGAATGACCAGTCAGTAGCTGAGCAGAAATGCAGCCATGTTAAGTTCTATAAAGGAAACGGGGGAGATGGAAGACTGAGGTCTGCAGAAGGTGGGCAGGAGGGCACATGATGAGGTGCTCTGAGGAGGCCTCTGAGAAGAGCCTTCCCTGTGGAGGAAGGGAGGCGGAGTCTCTTAGGCAGAGCAGCAAGAGTAGGGTCACACAGGCTGCCGCCTGAAAGGCTGGCTGCAGGCCATGCTGAAATACTTGGTTGATTGATGTAGTGTAGCCAGGCCAAGCCCCCAGGGGCAAGACTTGGAAGGAGAAACAGGAAGATTGCCTTTGCCATTTGGGTAAGGTGTCTGGGTAGTTAGGACAGTGGCCTTAGTTTTTGGGTTTTGACCTTCTCCGTTGGATAGTAATTCTTCCTTCCTTTCTTTCAGCTCTGACCCGCGGTGTCACCATCAAGGAGTTATATCCAGATTTTGATCTAGACCTGAGCGACTGAGGAGAGTCTTGCAGATTTTTGTCTACAGCCCACAGGGACAAGTGGATGGAGACATGAAAAACAGATAGTCCAGACAGTACATTCATATGGTTTCCAGATAAAAAAAAATGCTAGAAGCCCAAAATTTTCCTAAGGGCCCAAACTAAGTTTAGGGTGGGGTTTAGAGAAGGAGGGTGTTGGGAGGGGTGGGTATCGTCAGGTCTAAGGTTGTGAGTGGATGTGGGATTCTCCCTTCTGCTAATAAACATGAGCAGTCTCTGTGGTCCTGACCCCATTCCTTTTCCAGTCCTAGTCACATCCGCCATGGACCACAGCAGCCCACTCCTGCCCAGCCTCAGAGCTCTTGTCTCTGCATCCTTAGGGATTCTTAGTGCTGTCCCATTGACCTCAGAGAGGCAGGTGACTTGTCCAGGTTCACACAGTAGCAAAGTGTGGCAGGGATTTGAGCCCATGATCGTGCTTTGTGATGTTACTTTTCCAGGTTGAGAAGAAACAGGTTAGACTTAGAAGAAATGACAGGCATTTATTTATCCAGGTGTAGTGGCTCACGTCTTTAAATCCCAGCACTGGGGAGGCAAATCTCTGTGAGTTCGAGGCCAGTCTGGTCTACAGAGTGAGTTCCAGGACAGCCAGACATAGAGACAAACAGAAATGACAGCATTGTTAAATTATAAATTTTGACCATCATGAGTGTATAAAAGTCATGAGGCTGGAGAGACAGCTGATAGTGGGCTGTTTTTAATTCTCGGGTGGAAGCTCTTGTGCACCATGGCACACATGCCTTCTACACCGTGTGCATATATACATTAATACAATAATTCTGTTTGTTTGTTTTTTTTCAAGATAGAGCTTCTCTGTGTATCAGCCATGGCTGTCCTGGAACTCACTCTATATACCAGGCTGACCTCAGACTCAGAGACCCACCTGTCTCTGTCTCCCGAGTGCTGGGATTAAAGGTGTGTGCCACTACTGCCTCCTGGTTTATGCCTCAATTCTAAAGGGGAAAAAAGTTAATATGTTTATTCAACTTTCACAGAAGAATGTTTCCTGTGTAAGTTGATGTTCAAAATGAGGACTGCAGTTCCATGTATAAGTGGCAGGTGAGGGTAGACTACAGCTCTCCTTTCCTCATTGTGTATAAACAATTCTCCTGTTTAAAGTGCCTGTGTTCAGTTCCCAGCACGCAAATGGTGGCCCACAACTTCAGTTCCAGGTGACCTAATACCCTCTTCTGATTTAAAATGGGACTTGCACTTCAGGCTTACTACAAGTTTTGACTCCAGCTGCCCATCCCTCCTGGATACTGCTTCTCACAAGGCCAGAAGGAATGTTCAAGCCTGGGGACAGCTGGACCTGCAGTTAAGGAAGTGTAATCTCTAAAACCCAGTCTTGCTGGGCGGTGATCATGCACGCCTTTAATCCCAGCACTCAGCAGGCAGATCTCTGAATTCGAGGCCAGTCTGGTCTACAAGAGCTAGTTCCAGGACAGACTACAAAGCTACAGAGAAACCCTGTCTCAAAAAACCAAAACCAAACAAACAAAAACAACCCAGCCTTAACTGCATACCTTTAATCCAACACTCTGAAGGCAGTGGCAGAGAGCAGACAGATGGATCCCAGGGCTACATAGAAAAATGGAGGTGGGTGGGTGTCTTATGGCTTCTGTTGCTGTGAAGAGATACCATGACTATGGCAACTTTTATAAAGGAAAACATTTAATGGGGTGGCTTACAGTTTCAGAGGTTTAGTCCATT